CTGGGATTACAGGCGCCTGACACCATATCCGGCTAATTTTTGTATTTTTAGTAGAGACAGGGTTTTGCCATGTTGGCAAGGCTGATCTCGATTTTGAGATGGAGTTTCCCTTGTTGCCCAGGCTACAGTGCAATGGCACGATCTCCGCTCACTGCAACCTCCACCTCCTGGTTTCAAGCGATTCTCCTGCCTCAGCCTCCTGGGTAGCTGGGATTACAAGCGCCTGTTACCACGCCCAGCTAATTTTTTGTATTTTTAGTAGAGATGGGGTTTCACCATGTTGGCCAGGCTGGTCTCAAACTCCTGACTTCAGGTGACCCGCCCACCTCGGCCTCTCAAAGTGCTGGGATTACAGACGTGAGGCACCATGCCCAGCCAAAATAAGGATTCTTCATGTTGAAGAGTCAGGCAAATAAATTAGAAAAAAAGATAAAACTGTCTTCATAAATGGCATGATTGTCTTTGCAGAAAACCAATACAAAGTATGAAAAAGCTACTGGAACAAATAAATGAGTTTAGCAAGGCTGCAGGATACAAAATCAATACACAAAAATCTGTTTTATTTCTATATACTGGCGACAAACACTTGGAAATTAAAAATTTTAAACAACACCCTTTACAATCATATCAAGGTTATGCAATACTTGGAGGCAATTCTGACAAAAGATGTGCAAGACCAATACATTGAAAACTACAAAATGGGGCCGGGCGCGGTGGCTCAAGCCTGTAATCCCAGCACTTTGGGAGGCCGAGACGGGCGGATCACGAGGTCAGGAGATTGAGACCATCCTGGCTAACACGGTGAAACCCCGCCTCTACTAAAAAATACAAAAAAACTAGCCGGGCAAGGTGGCGGGCGCCTGTAGTCCCAGCTACTCGGGAGGCTGAGAAAGGAGAATGGCATGAACCCGGGAGGCGGAGCTTGCAGTGAGCTGAGATCCGGCCACTGCACTCCAGCCTGGGCGACAGAGTGAGACTCCGTCTCAAAAAAAAAAAAAAAAAACACTACAAAATGGGGCTGAGAAAATTTATTTTTTAGAGACAGAGTCCCACTATGTGGCTCAGGCTGGTCTTGAACTCCTGAGTTCAAGCGATCCTCCCACCTCAACCTCCTAAGTAGCTGGGACTATAGGCGCACCTCCAGCCTAACTTTTTATATTCTTTGTAAAGATGGAGTTTCGTTACATTACCCAGGCTGGTTTCCAACTCCTGGGCTCAAGCGATCCGTCCTCGGCCTCCCAAAGTGCTGGGATTACATAGCTATGAGCCAAGCTGAGAGAATTCAAAGACCCAAATAACAGAGAGAAATACCATGTTCACCAGACAGAAGTTACCAATTCTCCCTCAACTGACCTACAGATTCAACACAATTCCAATCAAAATGCCAGAAGCCTTTTTTTTTTTTTTAGTAGAAATTGACAAATAATTCTAAAATTTATATGGAAATGCAGGCTGGGCACGGTGGCTCACCTGTAATCCCAGCACTTTGGGAGACTGAGGTGGGTGGATTACTTCTGGTCAGGAGTTCTAGACCAGCCTGGCCAATAGAGTGAAACCCCGTCTCTACTGAAAATACAAAAATTAGCTAGGTTTGGTGGTGCATGCCTGTAATCCCAGCTACGCAGAAGGCTGAGCCATGAGAATCACTTGAAGGCAGGAGGCAGAGGCTGCAGTGAGCTGAGATTGCATTACTGCACTCCAGCTTGGGCAACAGAGCGAGATCCTGTCTCAAAAAAAAAAAAAAGGAAATACAGAGGACCTAAAATAACCCAAATAACTTTTAAAAAAAACAAAGTCAGAGAATTAACACTACCTGATGTCAAGGCTTATTTTAGAAAGCTATAGTAACCAAGGCAGTCTGGTATTGGCATAAAGACAGACGAGTAAGTCAGGATAGAAAAGTCCAGAAAGAATAGTCATTTCGACAAATAATGTGGGAACAATAGGATACCAAATTTTAAAATGAAAAAAACTTTGGCTTTCTAATTTTGCAATCTGATAGGTGTAATGAGGCATCTTGTTATTTTAGTCTGGATTTGTCGGGTTGCTGATGAATTTAAGCATCTCTCCACGTTCCTCTCGGGTATTTGGGTTCCTCCTTCTACGAATTGCCTTTTTTTTTTTTCTTTTTTTTTTTTTTGAGACAGGCCCAGGCTGTGGCCCAAGCTGGAATGCAGTGGTGTGATTTCTGCTCCCTGCAACCTCTGCCTCCCAGGTTCAAGCGATTCTCCTGCCTCAGCCTCCTGAGAAGCTGGGATGACAGGTGTGCACCACCACGCCCCCACTATTTTTGTATTTTTAGTAGAGACGGGGTTTCACTATGATGGCCAGGCTATGAATTGCCTATTCTTATCTTCTGCACATTTGTCTATTGTCGGTCTTTTTCTCGTCGATTTACAAGCATTCCTTTTTTTATTCTGAATATTAATCCATTGTTTTCTGACGTTGTAAATAAGTCCTCCTAGTGGTTTGTCTTCTTGGTTAAGCCAGATGTTAACTTGGATTTATCCTGCATAAAACTGAAGACTCGAGATGCATCAAACGCTGTGTACAGAAAAGCGCCGCGTATCCTACAGAAAGCTACAGACAGTTTGGGGTCAGAATCATTTGAATTGTTTCAAGTTTTGGGCTATTATAATTAAAGTGGCTATAAACGTGTGCACACAGGTTTCTGTGTGAACAAAAATTTCCATTTCAGCCAACTAATGTTTATGGTTCAATCATGATTTCACAACTTGAAGTACCTTCCACCCTTCTCATACTAAATTTGATATGTATCCACTGTTAAACTATTCCTTACCGTCGATTTGTAATTATTAAACTTTTTTTTTTTTTTTTTTTTTTTTTGAGACAGCGTTTTGCTCTTGTGGCCCAGGCTGGAGTGCAATGGCAAAATCTCAGCTCACCGCAGACCTCACCAACCGGGTTCAAGCCATTCTCCTGCCTCAGCCTCCCGAGTAGCTGGGATTACAGGCCTGCCATGCGCCACCATGCCCGGCTAATTTTGTATTTTTAGTAGAGACGAGGTTTCTCCATGTTGGTCAGGCTGGT